GAGCCTTGAATGCCAACCACTCGGCTGTGACTTTTGATTCCAGCTTTTCTTGACACGCGCATGTGACAATGTCATTTCTTTTAAGTGACTTGGTATTGGATGCTAAAGAACAAGCATTTTGATCTTCCACACACTTGTAAAGGAAGATTAATCTTTGACGTTCCACTTCGGATTAATGTCTTCGTAAATCAACGATGTGGCCCTAGAAAGTCGTTCCGTGTCGTGTTGGTTGCGCAATAGACGTACGTCCGTGTGACGGTGGAAAGCAGTGTCACCGATGTCTTGGATACTAAATTGGGAAAGTACGGATAGTGTAACAATAGTGGTGCTATTTTACTTTCTTCTTTGCCACAGATCGCTTTACCGAAAGCGTTGTCATGGTGATGTTTAATAGATCAGAGTCATTTATATTTACGCCTAAAATTGCACAGGAAAGTTTAAAAAAAAATGTTTCCTTTTTGGGATTGGAAACCATGGCATAAATCTAACAAGTTTATCTGCTGGAGCAGTAGTCTAATAGATAAATAAAATTACTACAGAACTAAATCGACATCTATTTCCGATTTATTCTGCTTTATTTTTCGTATGATTAAATATTTTGTTCTTAAATTTATGACGTAGGTTTGTTTAAAGATAACTGTCTTCTGGGATAGTTCCTGATGATGGATGCAATGAAACCTCTGAAACGTCGGTCGTTTTCAGCCAAACTGCACGGCGCTACATCCCAAAAGACAGCCATCTTAATACTCGCCGCCTTGAGAATCTGAAATCTCGCATGTTTATTACTTGGTTAACGACGGTTTGCGGACTCCGGAGGTTTGTGGAGCATCGCATGAAATACGATAATAAATGAAGATTAGGAGATTCTGTGGTTCGAATCAACTGTGGCTTATTTTAGAATATTCGGCACTTACCTGTAGCTGTAGAAACCACGAACTGGGACCATCAAACACGACTTTTGGTCGGGGATCAAAGGTCTGTGACGATTTGACCGCGTTTAGAACAATGGGATTGCAGTTAATTTTTAACCATTTCGTCATATCATGTCATTACACATTTGCATTTCTTATCGTGTCAAAACGGAATATCGCAACTCGACAGCACTCTGCAGTACCAGGCAGGCGAGTGAGTGAGTGAGTGGAGGGCCGCTGTGTTATGCAGCTCAGCTGAGAACACTCCCAAATATGGTCCAAGAGCAGAGCATGCGAAACATCACGGGTTTTCGCAGACCTCGTCAGTCACTTTGATGAATCGGAACTGGAAACAAGTCACGCGCTGAGAATGCGTAGCAACGCCACCGTTTAGTGTTGAAGCAACCGCGAGAGGTTATCTTGAAGGCAATCACTGGTCCGCTTTTGTGCACGACCCACAGGCAGTGTGCAGTGCTTTTAATCCTTTCTTTTGATCGTGCCATTGCCGCTTTTAATTCATTTGATTATGATGACTCAGTGCACTGTGCTTCAAAATTAGTTTCCACTATTGTAATCGTGAAATCTGTTGTTTTAAGTTTGCAATAAATTCACCGTCAGTCTTTTGTTTATTTTGCATGATCCTCTGGTATCTTAACTGGCCTAATATTCAGTGCAAAATTAACCTTGTCACTTGAAATCAAGTGTCTTTAATTCACCGCTCTAAGATATTGTGCAATTTGGCTACAATATTTCCAGAAACAACTAATTTCATGAAGCAGGGTTTTTTCTTGGGGATCTTATATTTTCTTGGCTGGTGAAGAAAGTATCTGTCTTTTATGAAAACCGAAGGTCCTTTATCGTTTTACAAGTTCTTATACACTTACGCAGGTCTTTATAAGGGCCCACCCTAACACAGGCATTTCAGCCTGAATACAGCAATATTGGAACATCTTCAACATTCGATACGGCTTATTTCTGAAACCCGAAACCACAAAAATATATTATATTATTATTCAATCCGGCCGTCTGTTCAGTAGTCAGCAACTTCACCGACTTACTTATCTAAGTCCTTTTGATTATATACACATTTTAATTTCAGTACTTTCAATATGATTTTCGGTGTTTTTCACTCTCCATCGTGGACGAAAAATATCTTATGAGCCCATACATGTCTCTCTGTCTCACGTTTTTCACAGGAAGTAGGCAAGTCTCATGCCCCTAGATCATTGTTGGAGCACATTGTTGCAACACTGTGAACCGGAGTCATTGTTGCATTACTTTGTTGCGCCCCTGGTCACATTTTAACAATAACCTTGGATGTCGTTGTTGCTGTTGATACCATTGTTACATTTCTTATTCAATTTTTTCTCCTGATGTGAGTGACCGTGATGTGATATGACGAAATCCTTTGAAATTTCAGTGAACTCCAAAGAGTTTATGAAGCGGTCTGTCATATGAACAGCTGTGTTTTCAGTTCGCATCGCGACTGGGAATAGGGTGTCCTATTAGATGTTTCGTGTTGTCTTAAAACAGGTCGATCAGCGCATTGACTTGGTGTAAAGACACGTGGGGACGTACACCGTGTTCGTTTTTATGAATGCAACCCTTGTACCTCGTGAGTGGTGGATACGCCTGTAACTGTGAAGTGTTATGCGTCCTCGAAAAGCATCCTTTGGCCTTATTCTTCAAGGATTCCGCCGGAGGGAACGCTACCATTAATTCTGTGTGGTATGTGAAAATTGTGATGGCATTCTTACCCTGTCCGGAGGTGGTGCTGGAGGTTCATTTAGACGGAACTGTGCACATCGAGAGTGTAACACGTCACCACACTCAAGGCCATCCACTACGCTGTTCATCTGTCCATCCGTACAGTTGATTTCAAATTTGAGTGTACCGCCCATATACGCCCAGGTCAACCGGATGGTCTCCTTCCTTGTTTCTTATTTATCCTTGCGTGCTCCATTTCCTGTCATGTCACAAATAAAATACATGTTTTTAATAATCATATTAGAAACATCTGCTGTTTCGTCTGTTTTCCAGAGCAACACAGATTGAGACACCACACAAACACTGTATGGGGTACTCGATAACATCTCATGAGGAAGGTTGCCATTTGTATAGGTCTATTCTTAGTGATGTTATAACGATTTAAGCGAAGCAAGAAACACGCACATAATTTTAGCAATGAAATTGGGTTCGAAATAAGAATTTGAAAGTTCGATGCAATGACTGAAGGTTGATGAACGAAATAACAGAACAGCCAAGTATGTTTCATTAATATGTGCCAGACTGAAGTGTCTCGAATGTTCAACGACGGTCTTTAATGATAGTGTTATTGGATAAGGTTGATAACGTTTTGGATTAACAAATTTATTTTTGTGGTAATAATATTTTAATTTATATCTGCGAGTGTTCAAGCATTTTTCGTTTCTTTCTCGAATCATATTTGAATTTAAATAAACTCAGTCAACTCATGGAAAACATGTGAAAAACTGCATTGGTCAGAACGTCTTCTAGTAATGTAACTGTCCCGAAACCTGGCCACCTATTTTTGCTTTCCTGAAACCCACCTAATTTAAATGTCATTGTTGAAGAACACATCCCTAAGAGAAAATGGTTTTCTCATCATGCAGTTATTTGCGTTCTCCAGTATTCACATTCTAAGCTAACGTAAATGACCTGAAATAAGTAACCCGCTCATAATTACTAAGCTAATAGTCAGTTTAGATTTAAATAGCATTATGCATTTTAATTTAAAGATATTTAGTAATTGCAAGTTCCCTGCATTATGCTGTGTCATCTTATGTAATAAATTAAGTAGCATTGTTAAGCTAATTATAGGCTTACTTGTTAGATTAATTACGAATTTTAGTCCGTAATCTTCTGTGAAGCGAGAATTTTAACGTAATTAACAACCTGAAGAAATTTGAGCCGGTGAAAACGTATTGACCTTTATTAATGAGTTACTTTGTAGTGAAAGATGATAAGGCAATTTACCTACTAATGCACTGATATGTGAATTGTCGCAGTTTCAAAATGTGTCAAGTACAGAACGTTTCTGTGTCAAGCGTTTTATAGCACTCGGTTTACAGCAAATGACGATACGCCTTAACAAGAATTAATGAAGTTAAAAAAGGGTTTGTAGCTAATTGACTATAGTCCGATATGTTTTTGCTCGGTTACTGTTGAAATTAATCACGTCATTTAGAGGACATCCAGTTCAAAAATTGCACTTTGAGTCCGAAACTCGTTCTAATAACTTTGAAGGATTCAGTCCTTACCGCAAAGAAAACACAACGTTCAACTGATTAACTCTGTTTCAGGAAATGATCGCTGTTTTATTCTAAGAATCATAAGAAACCCATAAATACAAACAGCAGGATTATTGTTTTTGGAGCAGGTGGTACATATACTTACCATATGTTTCATTAAAAAGTGTATTAAAACTAATGTAAAGTATTTATTAATTTTTCTGCTGTATAAAAATTAAGCAAACCCGGTTGCCGTTCACATTATCTTGGTATGTAATTATATTTTCAAAGGTTTTGCCTTCTCCATGTTTGACGCCTGTGTAAACTAGAATACGGAGAATGCGATGGAAAACACTATCATTAAAGAAATTATCCATACCTTAAATTATTACGAAAGTTAACAATTTAAATATTCTCTATACGCGTTTTATATTTTCTGCTATCGAGGTACTTCAACTTACGTGTTTACACCTGTGTATTAAAACAACCATGGGGGGCAAAATTAGTTCATGTGGAGGTGGTACCGAATGTCCATCACCCCCACTACCAAGAAAAAACATTTGTTTCAACTTAGCTATAGGCCTATGCTATTACTAACTAGATCATCATGTTACGAAACAATTATTTAAAATCTGTAATAAATAATACGGATGAGCCTTTAGGCGAATCGAGGGAAGGCATGGCTGCCTGCGTAGTAACAATGCTAATTGCGAAAGAAGGCGCTCCTCTGCTAATAATTCTTGAGTGCACTCCGTTCGTTTTCGGAGCTACTGCAATGTAATGAGTTGCAGCCTTTTTATGCATGTTTATTTTTCTTTCGTTTTTGCAATGCGTGCAGGGTCATACGTAACCGCTTCAGTATATAAAGATTGGTAACGTCTTCGTATCACATCATAATCCTCTTCACCTCTTACCGTTAACAGAAGAGGCTGCCTGCAGTTCGCGGCATCAGAAGAATGGAAAAGGTAAGGAAAGAACATTTGGAATTACGAAATGCAGTCGTCTCTTCGGTGCGAACCAATATTAAACTGTATCCTGGTTATGCGTATTATATTACTGATAATGGAATAGCCTGTTTTTAAATATATTTGATACAACTTATTTATTTAATGCGCTTTACAGAAAGTCTTGAACAAAATGATGATAATACCTAGAAAGGGCAGAATATTATTTGCGTGCTGAATTCTATGAATAATAATGAGTGAAAAATATAAATAATAATATATAATAGGTAGATTTCACCATGTCGTATATCAAGCCTTGTCATTAGCATTTTAAAATAGGCTAATTTTAGTTTTAAGTAATTAACGAATGTCACGATATTTAGGGAGAGATATTTGTACATTTTTTAATCTTTACGGGTGAGAAGAACATGTTCGTAATATGGAATAATTCTGTCTGTACAATGATGATAAACTTCTTATGACCTCATTTGTTGATTGTACTAAGACGCTATACATCGATCACAAGATGTTCTTGGTACGTTGGAGCTCTACTAGTCCGCTTACATACAGCATAAAGATACAGTAAGTTCTGCATTTGCGTCTGCTAGTTTCGTTTCACCAACAGATACAACTGATTATCTGGGCTGTGTCGCTAGCAAGCGTCTTGGGTGAGCCCCCCGTGGGACGTCTGTATCTGCCTCCAGGCCAGCGGCCTTCCAGCCAATATGGCGCTCCTGCCTCCGGCCGATTTGGCGGAGCTGGAGGTCTTTCGTCACAATACGGCGCTCCTGCGTCCGGCCGATTTGGAGGCGCTGGAGGTCTTTCGACACAATATGGTGCTCCTGCGTCCGGCCGATTTGGAGGCGCTGGAGGTCTTTCGACACAATATGGTGCTCCTGCGTCCGGCCGATTTGGAGGCGCTGGAGGTCTTTCGACACAATATGGTGCTCCTGCGTCCGGCCGATTTGGAGGCGCTGGAGGTCTTTCGACACAATATGGTGCTCCTGCGTCCGGCCGATTTGGAGGCGCTGGAGGTCTTTCGACACAATATGGTGCTCCTGCGTCCGGCCGATTTGGAGGCGCTGGAGGTCTTTCGACACAATATGGTGCTCCTGCGTCCGGCCGATTTGGAGGCGCTGGAGGTCTTTCGACACAATATGGCGCTCCTGCCTCAAGCCGATTTGGTGGAGCTGGAGGTCTCTCTACACAGTATGGAGTACCTGCTTCTGGCGGATTTGGAGGTGCAAGAGGTATTTCGACACAATATGGCGCTCCCGGTTTTGGCAGGGCTGGTAGTCCCAGCTATAGATCTGATGAAGATGCGTTGTCCGTAAGTATTACTAATTCCATGTACAGCTTGTCCTCTAATCTGCCGTCTGAACACCTGTGACTACGGGCTCACAGCAGAGGTATCGCTTAAATCCGGTTAAATAATAAACCGTCCATCCAATGCTTACAACTGAAGTTTCGATTTCGAAAAGTTAATAACTGGAATTCCACACGTCTAGAACATTTGTCAGTGTTACTCTACATATTTTGATGAACTGAGGTTTACATAGCGATTAAATTTTTTTATTTCTTACGAGTTTGAAAGTCGTCCACTAATTCTTACCCACATTCAAGTTTTACTGACTGAGTCATACCTTGATGATGGAGGCAACATGTTTCTCTCGATCATGGGGGACCATTTATGGGACTACACGTTGCCATAATTCAGACCACAATCTACATATCCATTCACTCATGCTCGAAACTCGATTTTAATACATGATTTCAATGTTCGAACAGTCCATAACCAATCCTTTTTGTTACATTAGTTTTAAAATTAAGCTATTAAGCTATCATTGTCGTGTGATAATGTAACAAGAAATTAAATTATCAATTTCAAACAGAATTTATGAGTAACGACTTTTAGGAACTGTCCTTTTTTACTGCACGACGAGCTCCTCAAACGTTTTCATTATTCTATTCAATATTTTATTGAATAGCTTTCATATGAAATATAACGTGTAGTCTTCATATTGCCCTTAGCGTACAAAAGCCGCATCAGTATGAAAACCACGTGTTTTACGTTCACAGATCTTTAAGACAAACATTTTTCTTGATATTTCTCAAGCCTTTGTTGTTGATTTGTAGTGTACCAACCGAATGACTTTGACTATAGTCATTAATATTCCACATAAAACATTCTGCCATAAAATCTCGCATTTTCGCTATAGGAACCCGCCAACTACGAGTTCTCATACGAAGTAGATGATCCTGCATCAGGAACCGTATTCGGCCATGAGGAAAACCGTCAAAATGAGGACGCAAGGGGCTCGTACCACGTGCTTCTTCCAGATGGTCGTCGTCAGGTCGTGGAGTACCAAGCTGATGTCGAAGGCTATAAGCCACAGATCCGCTATGAGGAAACTGGGGCCGGAGGTTACCAAGCATCCAGAGCAGCAGGAGGACCCTATTAATTGTACACCCGGAGAAGCTTGTGGAACTAAACACTGGAAGTGATAATGAAGGAGTGAGAACGACTGGTTCATGACCTAGGTTTCGATCATAAAGCGTATATTAAAAATTGTATATTCGTGTTCACTGCATTGACGCCAGGCAAATAACCTAGTCCCTTTCTAATTGTGCAGCACAGGGTACGAAAAATTTTCTAATATTGTTACAGAGTTTAAAATATCCGATTATTTGTACATTTACATAGTAGAGTGTTAATCTCTTGCGCCAGTGGCTTCGATACAATTCTCAAAGAGTACGAAGTCGCCACCAAAATCATTCCCCTGGGTGCCCATTTGCAGTAAACGTCAATTAGTTATTACTGAAGAAGTACAACTGTGAGTAACAGAAGGGTGTGAATTATCGGTGCCCCATCTGCTTCTTCTCTGGCTGATAGAGGCGGCACTTCTCGTGCTGAACGTATGTTTGAGGTTTCATATTTTGTATATATGTTTTAAAAGAAATATATCCTTATTTTAAACAGTATGGTAGCTTTGGGTGATTATGTTGTATTTTGTTGGGTGTAATGTACAAAATATATTTTATGTGTGAGTAACATGGCGTAATTTTTGTATATATTTAGTGGATTCATAAATAAAATAAATATAACATCACAAGTAACAAAATATGTCTCATGTTTGTTATGTTTTCCTTGCCTTGAATTTTGAAGTTTAATTGTTCTTGAATGTCAGTCTTTTGCGAAATGGTCGCAATCAGAGTGCTGAGGAGGAAAAGCACTACAATGAAGATCAACTTCATGATTTGTACTCTTCACCACAAATTATTGAAGCGATGAGCCGAGAAGGGTGAAGTGAATAGGGCATGTAGAACGCATGCGAAATAATAAATACATTGCATAATTTTAGTCGGAAATCATGAATGAAAGAGATCATCTGCTAGATCAAAGCGGATAATAGAGAGTAAAAAAATCTAATTATCTAATACAATCTTTAAAACATGAGATATTTGGGTGTGGACTGAATTTCATCTGGCTCACCGTAAAGACAAGAGGCTCGCTCTTTTGATCGAGGCAGGGAACCTTCCGATTTCATAAAATGCACTTAATTGGTTAGGTGAGCAACTCTTAGCTTTTTAACCAGGACTTTGCTGCTGGAAAGCTGTCTGTCGCATATTCACCACAGAAGTTCGCTCATAAGACGAAGTCGATTGGGTTGTTTTCATGCAGACTGGTAATAGAACGTCAGAGGAGTGGCGTATGACCACAAGGTTAACAATTCTTGTATAGTGAATTGCCGTAGTCCATAAAACCATCATCGACGGCCAAAAGTGATGTCTGAATAGCCGAGGTCAAATTTTGACATAAGTAACAAGGATTATTATCCAATATTGTATCAAGATTCCAGCATTAATTAAGTAGTCTACGTAAGGAATTACTAATTTTTAAACGTTGAATCTGAGTTTTAGTTTACATAGATACACCACGCACGTAGAATAATAGGAACCGAATAAAATGTTGAAGAGTGTTTTATGGCACTGTTCGGTAGCTGTCGTTGTCTTCATCACAGTTGCTACCTCATAATCGTCGTGATGATGCAGGGAACGATTACCTCTGAAACTTTGATACATTTCTACCGGACTATGCGGGGTTTGAATCACTGCATTATCCGTAAGATAACTCGTCCCGCGACAGTCTCTGCGTATTTCTCGTTAGGTCAAGTTTTGTATCAGACCCGTCGATCTCAGTAATTAGGTCTGCAAAATCGGAGCATTCAGATGATAGATGCTCCCCATAATCTGTGTTATTTTAGACCGTATTGCACTTTCATAACTAGACATTGGAGGATATTAATTATATATTACAAGTTTATGAACATTGGTTAATTTAATAAGTCAACATCCAATTTTGTCTCGGCATGATTTGTATATCTTGATGGTCAACAAAAACTCGTTAATTTATTGTTTAGTTTCAGTTCTGTTTATAATGCATTGTAGAGACTTTGAAATACTGGTATAAAACAAAATTGTTTTGCTTTTATATGTTGCATGAAACTTAATAGTAATCCAGAGTTAATGCATTCCTGATTAAGATCGTTTGATAAAAGGCCTTAACAAAATCTGTTTCTGTCGTTTGCAGGAATTGGCAGAAGGCTGGAACCCAGGACGTGCGTCCTCTTTAGAGTGGAAGAAGGTAAGAATACATTGGAAACAATGACATAATTTAGTATATAATAATTTATTAGATTACAATATATATGTACAGAACGTAACATAAAAGATTATTTAATTACATTCATCTTGCCGTAAAGTACATGTAAATCGCTCGGTCCGTATATGTAAGAATCGTGTATGAGTTCCAAGATTTAATAGGGTCCTCCTTGCTTCCTCTGCTGAGGCCCACTGGGGTATCCAGCTCCAGTTTCCTCGTAGCGGATATGTGGCCTGTATCCCTCCTGATCTGCCTCGTATTCCACGATCTGCAGGCGACCGTCTGGTAGCAGGACGCGGTAAGAGCCTTGGGCACTTTCGTCCTGGCGATTTTCCTCCTGGCTAAATTCACTCCCGGACTCGGCGTCCTGGACTTCGTAAGAGAACTCGTAGTTGGCCGGTTCCTATTCAGTGGACGGACACAGACAGACAATTCGACTTAGTGGACAAAGGCCTTGAAGGGTGTTTAGTTCTTTAGCAAAGACTAATGATACGTAAAAGTGTGTAATTACGTACGGCCAATTCATCCTCCTGGGCATTGTATCCTCCCCTCGAGGCAGCGTATCCACCGCCTGGAGCGTATTGTGAGGTTGGGGCGTTGAGTCTGCTAGAGGCTGATGGAGCACCATACTGCGTGGACAGGGAGCTAGAACCTCCAAATCGGCTTGAAGAACCAGAACCTCCGAACTGAGATGAAGAGTAGCCAGCACCTCCAAGTCGGCTTGAAGAACCAGAACCTCCGAACTGAGATGAAGTGGAGCTAGCACCACCAAAGCGGCCTGAAAATCCGGTGACACCATTTCTAGTTGATAGGGAACTGGTGCTTCCATGTCGGCCTGAGAAACTAGCAGTGTCGTATTGAGTCGACAAAGAATTAGCATTGCCAATTCGGCTGGAGGTACTAGGGGCTCCATAGCGGTTTGAGGGAGAGGTTGAACCAGCGAATCGGATAGAAGCCCCATTCCCTAATTGGACTGAAAATCCGGGAGCGCCATATTGTGTTGACGGAGACCCGGCACCAAATCGGCCGGATATAATAGGAGCGCCGTATTGAGCGGAGGGCAGGCTAGATCCTCCAAGTCGGCCCGAGGATTCGGGAGCCCCGTACTGGCTGGAAGGCTGACTAGCGTAGCCGCCCTGATTTGCAGGAAGGTACTCTCGAGAAACAGGTGGTTCGGCCATGGCGCATGTTAGCGCTAGGGCGGCAAGTATCAAAAGCTGCAACAAAGTTTAGCGCTTATAGTTGTAAAGATAAGATATATTAATTCCTCCAAAAAGTTCATCCACCTACATGACTACATGACTTCACAGCTAAAAGACAACAATCCTAATATTACAGAATTATTTGGAATATCTGACCAATTCGTATGATATTTAAGTGGCGTAAAATCAATTGTAGAAGATGGCGGATGAATAAGCTGGGTCTGTTTAATGTTAGTATTTCTCAGTTGGTATAAAATAATAGTTGAAGTAACGAAATATATATCTTAATACCCATTATATTGTTAATGATACAAATTGAGGCCCTCTCTTATACACGGAGGTGTTATTAACACATTTCTGGGGAACATGCGAAGTAACCAGCTTAGGTTATCGAAGTCCGGACTGCAGGGTTTAAAATCGGAGTATATAATACATCGCGTTGTAATCCCAAATAAATTTTGTTTTTTAATATCATAAACGTCCAATCAGTGAATTACTTTAATTAAATATGGGGCTGTGGCTTTTCAAGTTTCGAAGCTGTGATTGTGTGGATCGTGTGCCGGCATGTAGTCTTGTTTGCGTATTCAACTGTCTTCAAGATTACGTGGATGACGTCACAACCAGGAAGGCTATTATTTATAGATAGGCTTAGAATACTGTTTTGTGAAAGACCGTTAAGAGCGACAGGTCAGGGATGGTCTTCTACTTCGACTTTGAATGGATTGAAGTGTTGAACCAGGACTCTTCATCGACTATACCACAAAATTCGTATGCTTAATATACCTTTTTATGATGATAAAATAACCAAATAATGAGTGGGTGTTAGTCTTACTACAGTGTTTGTGGGCATTTTCTACAAAGGAAATTTGTTTTTACTTAGTCATCAACATTAATAGTCTGTACCACAGAGTATTACTGATAAAGTCAAGGAGGATAATAGTGATGGAACATTTATCAAGCATCGGCCAATTGAAAAATGCATGCAACATCGTGATTTGAAAGTAAACGAAGTCCTGGGAGACGCATGATAATATTAAAGTGGATCTTAAGAAGTGTGCGAGGATATTAGATTAAATTGGCTTAGTTTAGAGTCCAGTGGCGAATTGTCGTAAATATAGTTTTGAATTTTTTATTGTATTTATTGACCAGCTAAGCGACTATCGGCTTTCAAAAACGGTCCTGCTAATTGGTGTTAATTATCTTAACAGTAATGAAGAATTTTAGAGTTTCTAAGAAAAATTTAGTTAGTAAAAAAATAGACCATTTTTTGTTAGCCATCCTATAGGTTAAACATTCCGGAAAAAACTACTTGTGTCTAGAAAAGAAATAGTGGTGAAATATAGGTGTTTTCTTGCCTGTATTTGAGTAATTTTTAAATAAAATCAACTTATGTCCATTTGTTTGACATATTTCTGTGAAAATAAACAGATACCTGCAACTATATTCTGGAACACCTTTAAATACGTTGATACAAAACAAAAATGTTGAAAAAATTCTCAGCGTTTTTCTTGATTTTCCACAAAGTCAAATTTCGGAAGTACGTCCCTTATCCAGAAACCCCTAAATTTGTTATTCTGCTTAGCAATCTTTTGTGGTACCGATTTCCTCCACCAATCGCACTCACTCACTCACATGGAATGACCTGCGAGGGCACGTGGTACGATGAATAAACAGCCCTTAGCGACATCGGAGTAATGCAATGGCTTTTTCCTTGAGCGGTTGAGTTAAACCAGTTATTTGCTAAATATAAGACAGAAGCAATGGCTTCAGCTCAGCCGCCTTTACAGTTACGTTCATGCAAGAAAATAATTGCTTTTTTACATCTAAAAAGAAATTATGTGTGTGTATTACGAGTAGAATTAATAGTTTGCTGTAAATGCAGATTTAAACCAATTGCTATAGTTTCCCTTACCTCGGAAACAAGTCTTCTTACCTTAGCCATTTTATGGTCTAGAGCGCTGAGTGAGTTCTTATTGGTGACTGCGTTAATTGTGCAGATGTGACTAGCATTTATATACGAGTAGTCCACCTGCGATGACCCTGCTGGCGGGGAGGATTACAGAGCAAGGCAAAGCAACAAAAACAAGATCAAACATTAAAACTGGATTACCCCGCAATGCCAAACTGTAATGGGTGTAATGTCGGCGAGTTCTATATCATCACTTTTAACACTCCCTGGTTGCATCATCATTGAGTGGTGATGATTCTCATACTTTCATTGCGGTAAACAGTTTGCCGTGTGCTGACCAAGCTGTTACACATAGAGGCCTGAAGGACTATTAATTTTCTTGGGTTTAATGTGACTCCTTGCGTCATCGTGAACAGGATGCTCCAGTTTCGCATCATTTTTTTATCGTGTTTTCTGCCCGTCCTTGGGAGCGACTTGAGGTTGATCGTCTTGATAACACTGACAGGTAGCAACATTTTTCTGTGCTGTTGATTAAATACAATATACTATATTACATTAATGATTCTCATGTGAAGTTACCAAACGTTAGAAGTTATGTTATGTCTTCTTACAGTAACGTTATTTCCATTAATAGGGACTTATCATGCTCTGGTTGAAGAATGCGTTTAATTTATTTGTTCTCTTGTTATTAAAATATCCTTCGGTCTTCTCATCTCGTATGGTGTTCCAGCATCAATGTTTTGTAGTCACTCTAATTCAGAACGTCTTTTATAAATTTTTAATGTAGTCTTTAATTTTTTCCATCACTTATTTTTGCAGCCTGAAATTTCATATGTAGTAGTATTAATCTGTGATTTCCTTTTGATATAATTCTTCCTCCTTTAATTGCGGTATGATTTCTGATATTGATCGTAGAGACCTTGTACTGATCAGTCGAATCTCGACCACACCATCACATACTGTGTCTTAAGATTCGTGTTAATATTATCCTGCTGTCAGGAATTCCAAGTGGTTTCTATACCCTCAGGGATTCCGATAAAAATTCTGTAAACATCTTTTTTTTATTAGTGTTCTGTCTGGCGACAGGTCCATATGAACAGGATCCTTCCATCCTTTTCTCGGACTGGGACCTGTTCATATACGTTCTTGGCAGATGATCCAGAAGTGGTTTGCCATTGCCTGCTTCTGTGTGTGAATGGAGTAATTGGTGGGATGCCACGGAGGAAAACTCCGGGCTGCCTAGACCACGGCCTTGCCCACCACAAGTTATAAATTCGGGCACCGCCAGGAATCGAA